CTCTCCAGCCCAACCCACTTGGCTCTTTAACCACTAAGTGTGACCTGGTTCTTTTAACCGCTAACTGTTCCCTGTGCTTTACAGATAAGCTTCCCCTTGCTACATCTTCAGAGGCAAATTCTCACACGTCTTCCAAGACTTAACCTCTCTAGCCAGGTGGGGCACACATTGGTCATCCCAGCACTTAGGAGGCAGAGGCAGGTGTATGGGGGAGGGGGAGGCGGCGTGGTGGAGGTGAACATTCAAGACCAGACCAAGCTGTACGGTGAGTTCCAGGCCTGGCAAAACCGGAGAAAAATCCCCCCCCCCCCTTTCTGATGTCCACTGGCCCAGAGCTGTTCCTTGAATACACCTTCCTCCCTCCATTCCTCAAGAATTAGTTATGGGGCATCCAGCTATTGTATTTACACCGAGGTGCTGGGGTTTGGAATCTGCCCTCAAGGACTGCAAACTTCTGGAGTAGCCACAGAAATCCACCAAACAGTGTAGACCAAAACTATGCAACACTGGCAGGCCGTTTCGTTCATGTAAGCTGGGAATAAGATCTTCTCATGATTTCAAAATTAGAATGTTAACCTGCTCATGGTGGCTCACGCATGTAATCCCAGAAGCTAGCAGGCCAAGGGGGAGTTTGAAGTCAAACTGGGCCAATTTAGCGAGTTTTAGACCAGCTTGTAACTACATTGCAAGAGACTGCCTCAAATACATACATACATACATACATACATACATAAATAAAGCCAACCATAGTGACTCAGACCTGTAATTCCTGCACCTGGGAGGTGGAGATAGTGGGAGTTCAAGGTCATCCTGGCCTGCACAGTAAATTTGAAGCCATCTTAGGCTACCTGAGACCTTGTCTCAAAAACCAAACAAGCCATATCCTGGTTAACACAGAGCCTTCGGAAGTATGAACTTAAAGCAACTGCCAGTGCCTGCCCTGGGTCTGCACAAGAATGAACCTGTCATCAGTCAGGCGCGATGGAGGAGAGGTTCAGAGAGCCTCGTCCCTTACTCCTGAATTTGCTACTGTTGCTAAAATCCATTCCCAGGGAAGAAGTTGGTCTAGCCTTTCACTTGAGGTCTCAACTATCAGGCACTGCTTGGACAGAGTTCACCCTGGGGGAACCAATGGATTCGTCTTCCTTATAGAGTATAGGGGTTGCTTAAAGGGGTACTAGTGCTCCTCACCCCTTCTCCCCCAAAAGGCCACACCTGGAAAGCCTTGACCCAGCAAGGGTGAGAGTTTCCTATAGCTTGGTACACGGAACCTCCTTCACTGAGTCTCCCCAGGTCTATATATACTCTATCCCCTCCCAGAAGCCGTGTGCAGTGAAGGCAGAGCTGTACATAAGAGTGGTAGAGAATGGCTAGATAATCGGGTGACACTCTTGTGACCCTAAGTGGGTCTAAACAGTCAGCAAGCCCAGCTGGGGTAATCCTTCTGCAAGAGGGCACAGCTGAATGCCCCAAGATGGTAGGTGCTTGGCTTGGAGAACAATTATGATGATGACTGATGCACTGAAGGAGGAAAAGTCATTCATTACCCTCAGTAGTGAACCCACGGGTGACCCCACATGTTCCCATGGATAGTTCCAGTCTAATGCTCACACGGATGGCACTGGTTAAACTAAGTGCCACACACATGCCCAGAGACACACACGGCAACGGACAGCAATACACATCAAAATGTCAGAATGAAACCCATTATTTTGGCCTCTGGCTCTCTTGCTAGTTCAGCAAAGCCTTGGGATTAAGGGACTTTTTAAACCTAGGTTTCTTCATGTGGGAACTAAGAGACAGAAAGGAATTTATCCAGGCTCTGTACATCTTCTGTGTGCAAAGCTTAGGGCTGCAGAGATAGCTGATCCTGACCTCTTGTCCTCTGAGGACAAAGCGGAAGAGAAGACATGCTTGGGAGATCTGAACTCAAGCTTTCGCCAGACCGGCCTTCCTCCCTTTGGGGAATATGACGGTTACGCATCTGCAACTTTTCCTCGTGGCAGGGCCATGTTCTCATTTCTCAAAGGTCTGTTGTATCAAGGGCTGGGGTTGCTGGCTCCTGCGGTGACTGAGTGCAATAGGAGGATTTGTCACGTTGCTTCCTACAGTAGCTGCCCTATTTGACTTCCCTATTACCTGTATACAAATATTCTGATTTGCTCTTCTCCTCGCCATCACTTTTTATTTTTAATTTGTATGTTTTTTTGGTCTGGGGTTTTGTTTTGTTTGTTTGTTTGTTTTCTCTTTTTAAAGTGACACCCATCCCCAGGGAACCTGAAGTACCATTTCCCCTCGGGTTGGTTTGTGTTTCCCTAGTGACTAGTCACATGCAACATCTTTTCATTTGCTTCCTAGCCATGTTTTAATCTTCTTTAGAGAAATGCCTTCTCCATACGTTACCTATTTTGTTTTGTTTTTTTAAGATTTGTTTTTATTTTGTTTCTATGTATATGTGTGCACATGTGCAGGTGTCTGCAGAGGCCAGAAGAAGGTGTCAGATCCCCTGGAGCTGAATTTGCCCAGGTGGCTGTGGGCTGTAGGCTGAAAGCAAACTTAGTTTCTCTGGGAAAACAGTAAGCCTGCCCTCTTAATTGCTTAGCCATCTCTCCAGCATGAAAGTTTAATTTTAAAATCTCCCTTATATTTTGTTCTGCTGCTTCAGCTTTTGGAATCATATTTAAGAAACCATTGCTTTTGTATAAAGTCATATATGCATTTACCCAAGAGGTTTTTTAGTTTCAAGTCCTGCATTTAGGTTTGAGTCTGCGTTGCTGAAGCTATATCCCTGGGGCCTAAAATAATGCCTAGTATGCAGAAGGTTTGTGATACTTACTGAGGGAAATGAATGAGTTCATATCGCTAGTAAATGAATGAATAGACACGTCTTTCTAGTCTTAGTGTGCAGCTGGTTGAGTAAAGGGTTAGAGGGGCATGGTGCTGGGTGCAGTAGTAGGGCCCTTGCCCAGCCTGGGCTTGGCTCTGGGTTTGATCCTCAACACCATTTGAGAGGTGTAGTGACATACAACAATTTGCTTAATGTTACTGGTAAGCACTCATAATTCTTTGTCTGTCAATTTCCCTCCCGTTTTCCCTTCAGTTTTTGTTTCTCCTGTGTTTCCCTATTTGACACAATGTCACTAAGACTTGTATGTGGGAGAGAGAGAGAGAGAGAGAGAGAGAGAGAGAGAGAGAGAGAGAGAGAGACTACATTCAGCCACACATGAGAACTAAACTAGCCCAGAATGTCTGCCACAGGTCCAGGCCAGAGGACCCATGGGAACTGTTTGGGTTGTGAGCAAGGCAGTCTTGGTGGCTTCGGGATGGTGATGTTCCAGACCCAATGAGACACATTATGGACAGCCCAGCAGCATATGCCAGCATTCCTTAGTTCTGTGCCTGCAGCCTTTGTGGGTATAGAGGCGGATGTATGACCTCTGCCTCATCCTCTCTTGGGCCTGCCCATTCTCTTCTTCTTGCACTTTGCTCTCCTGATACTGGAGTTTCCGCCAGGAAAATAGTGCTAAGGCCAAGAGCATGGAGATGTTCCCTCAACAAATATATCTAACCTACCTTGACTAAAAGGCAAATATCTTAGGTATATGGGGAAAACTATTGTAAAAATATTTTTTGGACCAAGGTGTGGTAGTGCACAGCTGTAATACCAGCACTCGGGAAGCTGAGGCAGGAGGATGGCTATTTCCAGAACAGACTGGGATACATAGTCCTTTTGGGGGGTGGGGGGCGAAAGTAGGGAGTTAAAGAGATGGCTCAGCAGTTAAGAGCACTTTCTGTTCTTTCAGAGGACCCAGGTTCAGTTCCCAGAAGCTCACAAGCATTTATTCCAGAAAATCTGATGCCTTCTTCTGGCTTTCTAGAGCACCAGGACTGCGCACGCGCGCGCGCGCACACACACACACACACACACACACACACACACACACACACTCCACATATATACATATAGGCAAATACTTATACAATACAATAAAAATAATTTTTAAAAAAGATTCGATGGTTTACATCTGAAATCCCAGCAACTGGGAAGCTAAGCCAGCGGGATTTACTTGACTTCAAGACAGGCCATGACTGCATAGTGAGCTCTAGCCATAGAGAGAGACCCTGTCTCAAAACTAAAAACACATTCTTGGTCTAATATTTCTTTCCCTGGTTTTCCTTGTGTTCAGCAGATAAACTCGGAAAACATGGCAGTGTAGAAATTACAAAATAGATGCTACCTTGAGAGAGGAGAATGTTGGTGTTCAAAACCTGCAGTGAGAAACTGACAGTGGAGACAAAAGGCAAAATATCCACCATGAGTGGTCACGGTAAACAGGACTTGCTAGTCATTCACTATTCGTTCAAATCTATTTGTTTGTTTCCCGAGTCATGTCCTTGTTGTATGCCCTTGGCTGTCTAGAACTCACTGTGTAGACCAGGCTGGCTTCAGACTTTCAGCCGTCCCCTACCTCTGCCTCTTGGGTACAGGAATTACAGTCATGTCCAACAACACCTTTTAGTTTAGTCTTGGTTTTGTTTTTTTCCCAAATGGGGGAAAGCAGTCATTCACAGTCCTAGGCATGGAGGGAATTACCAGAGAACCCTGAGAGGTTCCTGTGTGCTAGACACCCGGCATAGCTTCTCATTAAACCCCAGCTCCTGAAGAAGAAACAAAGGAAGAGAAGTGACTCAGCTGTTCTGAAGAACCGGAATTTGGATGTGGGTCACTACCTCCAGGCCTCCATTCTTTTGTTGCTCTAAGGACCTGAACAGCACATTCCTTGGGGAAATGCCTGATTTCTCTGTCATCGCGATAGTCCTAAGGGCCTGTGCTTCGGGAGGGTGGATGGGAATTGGTCTAGAGTTTCTAGAGCACAAGCACCATCACTTGAGATTTAAAACGAGTAGGAATGTAGAGGGGATTGCTGCCCACCCCTGCCAGTCCACGGGCAGGCTTTGGGTCACAAGTCCTTCACCTTTTTCTGTTTGCCTTCCTCCAGGAACTGAAGCTGCCTACCTTCCGTGCCCACTCCCCGCTCCTGAAGAGCCGTCGCTTCTTTGTAGACATTCTGACCCTGCTGAGCAGACACTGCCATCTCTGCCCCTCAGCCCGGCACCTGGCCATCTACCTGCTGGACCACTTCATGGACCAGTACAACGTCACCACCTCCAAGCAGCTGTATACTGTGGCTGTCTCCTGCCTCCTGCTGGCGAGTAAGTAGAAACACTTCCTTCGGCGGCCAGCTGAGTTGCTGCTTATTTCTACAAGCTTTCCATGGCTTCTGTGTGCATCATTTGATGGCTTTGTGTCTATACCATACCAGAGAAACTAATAAGTATAGGTGGGGTTTTCTCTCACCAGCCAGTGCCCAAATAACCATACAGAGACTTATTAATTATAAATGCTCAGCTGATAGCTTAGGCGTAGTACTAATCAGCTCTTACAACTTAACCCATATTTCTTATTTATGTTCTACCACGTGGTGGTATCATTTTTCAGCACAGCTTGTTCATCTCTTGCTCCCTCTGTGTCTGACTGGTGACTTCACCCCTCTCCTCCCCAGCTTCCCCCTTCTTCTCACAGTCTGGCTCTCCCACCTACCCTCTTTCTACCTAGCTATTGGCCATTTGGCTTTTTATTAAACCAGTGAGAGTAAAATATCTCACAGTGTACAAAAGAATTATTCCCCTGTAAATAAAGATATTCACAGTTCGATCTTAATGAATCTCCACAGTGACTTTAGAAGACAGACAGTCTTGGTACCTGATGTTATCACGGCTCAGAGAAGCTTCAAAACTTGTTTGGGGTTGCCCAACTAGTATATGACAAACAGTATTTGAGACCGTAGCTGCTTGGTGCCTGCGCCCTTGACCTCATGTCTCCTGCGTCTTTCCACAAGGACTTTGAATGGGCCCTCGCATTCACTATTTTCAGAGGGGTCTAAAGATGGAACTGCTTGTTTTGGACCAAAGTTGGATCCACAATGTAGTCACCGGGCCTGAGCACATTCCTTGTGCAGTCTATACCTTCCGAAGAAGCCTCACTGAAAACAGCAGATCTCCGGCCATCTGTCCTTCTTGGTGAGGGTCACTGCAGCTTAGAGAAGCTCCTGACCACACAGGTCTCCTATGTCACCTTGCCACCTAAAACTGCTCTGTGATAGACCAAGAGCTCCAGTCTAATGGCCAGACCTCAGATTCTTTCCCCTCTGGATTTGTGTCTTTCTCCTCATCACTGCCTGGATGGCAGTCACACTGGGGACCCCTGTCCCATCACAGACCTCTGCCTTCATTGCTTCTTGCTGCATTTGTGAACTTAGGCCACCCGCCCCTTTCACCACAGCCGAGGTCAGAGATATATAGAGACACAGGATTGTGTACTTGGCCCAGTGGGTAAAGTGCTTGCTGTCAGTTTGAGTCTTCAGTACCCACATAAATGCCAGGCAAATGCGACAACCCGCCTATAATCCCGGCACTCGGGAGGTTGAGATGGTGTTTGCAAGGCAAACTGACTAGTTAGACTAGCTGTGGGTTCAAGTGAGAGATCCTGTTTCAGTAGATAAGGTGGAGAACAATCTAGAAGACATCTAATGTCAACCTCTAGCCTTCGTGGCATAGTGTCACATATGTGCCTATACACGCACAAACACTACATACAGAGAGTTCCAGAGAGGGAAGAGAGCTTGGCACATCATAAGTCCTCATAAGAACATTTGTGGAAACAACAAAAGGAACGAAACTTAGGCATCCCTCGGGAACTGGGATTCTTCTTCTCTGTACTGTCCTTAGTGTTAGGGAGTAGAACGTGAAATCCCGGTCTCAAACTAGCCAGCTGCCATTAAGAACATTTTCTTGGCATCTAATATCAATATGTTTACCCTTGACTTAAATCAGGTTTTATGTTCTCCTCCATGCTGTGTTACTACCCTAGGTTATTGAATATTTCCTATTGTTAGGAGGGTGGCACCCACAAGCTGCTGTGGTTTTCTCTGTTCTTGGCACACTGCTCTAAGCCCCGTGGTCACCATCACTCTGTTAAACACACATGCTCGCACACACGCACCCACGCATGTGCACACACACTGCAGTTTTGGAATTTTATTTATTTGTTTGCTTGGTTGGTTGACTGGTTGGCTAGATGGTTGGTTGATTTTTTTTTTTTTTTTTTTTTTTGAGACAGGATCTTGCTTTGTAACCGTAGTGAATCTGGAAGTCCCTGTAGAGATCAGGCTGCCCTCAAACATTGTGATTCTCCATAGCATCAGAATTACAGGCATACGCCACCCTGCCTGGCAGGAGAGTGAATTTCAAGTTTCCCAAACCCTGTCTTATTGTCACCTAGGACCTCCGCCCTATTGTAAGGTTGTCTCTAATCTGGACCAGCTAGAATTTGCAAGTTATCAGTGGGAGCTAATTTTGCTCAAGCCCGGCCTTTTGTAAGCATCTTATCACCTCAGGAAGAGATGCAGAGGCCGGTGAGCCATCTCCATCAGAGACGGGCAGAGCAGGCATCGTGTTGCAGACACATCATGGCCTTTGGCCTGCTGCTTCTGTGATCTGTGGACTGCAGCGAGGCCTACTGGGGGCAGGAGACTTAGATTTCCTTGGGGCTGTTGCGTTCTCCCCCAGCATCTGTCTGGGGAGCCGGGATGGAAGGCTCACACTGGAGTCCCCATTGTGCTGCTGTAGCCATGGTGGAGGAAGAGGGCCCTCCAGATGGAGAGGCAGACGCCCCCACCCATATGTTGATGGGCCTCAGCCAGCCTGGGGAGGCAGAAACGGAGTTCTCAGAACACCTGCCATATGTTCCAGGGCTCAAGGACAGCCTGAAATCCTATTCGCCCCTTCTCCCTTTCCTGGGCTCACTGTCAGCCGTAGGGTAGGTAGGGTCGGTCACCTTGTCTGGGGAAACTTGGAGTTCTACTGGTTCGGTATCAAATTACTGAGATAAGGAAACCTGGCATCGCTGTCCCCACCTGTGAATCTAAAGGGATTTTGCTTTTTTAAAAAGATTTATTTTTTACTGTGTGTGTGTGTGTGTGTGTGTGTGTTTATCTGAATGGGAATACGGGTGTCCATGGAGGCTAGAGGCTTGGATCTCCTCGTCTAATTTGGGTGATGGGAACCTAACTGCCCCAGGTTCTCAGGTTTTATGTGTAGGTATATCCATATTTGTTTGTGTGCATGTGCGTGTGCACATGAGTGCACCTGCCTGTGGAGGCCAGAGGTCGACTTCAGGTGTCCTCTTTGGTTGCTCTGTAGTTTATTTTATTTATTTATTTATTGGTTTTTTTTTTTTTCCGAGACAGGGTTTCTCTGTGGTTTTGGAGCCTGTCCTGGAAGTAGCTTAGCTCTTGTAGACCAGGCTGGTCTCAAACTCACAGAGATCCTCCTGCCTCTGCCTCCCGAGTGCTGGGATTAAAGGCATGCGCCACCACCGCCCGGCTTGTAGTTTATTTTTTGAGATAGAGTCTCTCACCAAACCAGGAGCTTGCCAATTTGACTAGGCTAGCTGGCCAGGGATCCTCCTGTCTCCAGCCCCACAGCACTGGAATTATAGGCACACACAGCCTCCTGCAGCATTGTGCACGGGTGCAGGGGATTCAACCTTAGTACTCTTAACTGGCTGAGTCATCTCCCCAACTCCAAATTCTGAGGTTTATAACACTGTTTCCAAATAAGGGCTTTTGCATAGATGAAACTTCTCTTTCTGCCTTGGGTCCCACAGCTCTCATAAAACAAGCAGAACCTTAGGTAGTCAGGTAGCCAACCTATGGCAAAGAGGCCCCTTAGTCTCTATGACTAAGTTAATTGTGTCTCCTACCTCCACACAGGATAGACACAGAAGTATCATACAGGACTGGGGTAGAGTTTGACAGTAGAGAACTTACCCAGCATATGCAAAGCCCTGAGCTCCACCCTCAATCAAACAAAAAATCAAAACAAAACAATAAACATCATGGGGAGGCACATCTTTAGTCCCAGCACTAGGGAGGTGGAGGCAGGGGCAGGCAGATCTCTGAGTTCAAGGCCAGCTTGATCTACAGAGTAAGTTCTAAGCTAGCCGGGGCTGCACAGTGAGACCCTATCTCAATAACAAGAACAAAACAGTAAACGTACTATTTAATAGAGCCACCCTCTTTTTTATCTTTCACCTTACCCATCTTCTGTCCCCCAACTGTTCTTTTTGGTGTTTTTGTTACTTAATTAAAAGGATTATACGACAACATGGAAACTTACAAACTTCAGGTGAGTTGCTTCAGGACATCCTATGACAGGATGGCCAGTCCCTGCTTCATTTCTGTCCTGGTCTCTTTCTGTAGGCCCACCAACCAGTCCATCCAACCAGCATGTATGGTCATGATGTCATATGCCTGTGATTTTAGGTTCAGAGAGGCAGTGTAACTTACCCCAAAGTCACACGGCTTGTTTTTGGGTTGTCTTATAGTATTGTGTAAATTCAGCAGTTTAACCATTTTAAAGAGTACAATTCAATGGCATTTAATAATTCAATGGCGTTTAATAATTCAATGGCATTTAGTAGATCCATGCCATCTAGTGTGCAGCTGTCACTCTGTCTCACTCTAGAACATTTTTTATCACTTTAAAAGTAATCCCAGCTGGGCGATGGTGGTGCACACTTTTAATCCCAGCACTCGGAAAGAGGGGGCAGAAGGATTTCTGTGAGTTAGAGGCCAGCCTGGCATACAGAGTGAGTTCCAGGACAGCCAAGGATACAGAAAAACCCTATCTTGAAAAACTAGGAAAAAAAGAAAGGATGAAAAGAACAAAGAAAGAAAGAAAGAAAAAGAAAGAAAGAAAGAAAGAAAGAAAAATTCTGGAGGGTTAGGTAGATTCAAGGCTGGCCTGGGCTACAGTGAGTTCAAGACCAGCCCGGGTAACTTAGTGAAACCCTGTCTCAAAAAAATAAAAACAAAAAAGAGGGCCGTGGATGTAGCTCAGTGATGAAGCACTTGTTCTGAGAGACAGGCACTTCCCGTTCCTTTCCACCCCAGCCTTGGCAACCACTCGGTTGCCTTCTAGCTGTCTGGTTTGTGTATTCTGGCTTCTCATGTAGGAAGGCTCATACAGTGCGTGAGCAGTGGCGTCCCTGTGTCCATGATGTAGCGTGTATCAGATCTTCCACCGACTCACATCCATCTTGGATGACACGGTCTGTTTACCCAGTCCTCTGCTCACTGATCACTGTGTAG